AGTTGGTTCATTAATCATTTGGGACAGTGAGTACGCGCTGCACAAGTCAACAAAACCTCGGGCCTGAGCGGGAAGGCAGCGCCACGAGTCAAACGGCATGCGAGCAGGTACAACAGGCCATGGGATTTCAGGGTGGTTAAAGTCTCCAGTGAGTATAAATACGTCTGTGGGATACATCTGCGCGAGTGATTCCAAACTTTTCTCAAGAAAGGATTGGAATCCAAGAAGATCGGGCGGCCTGTAACAGGCAATGACCAGTACAAAGAACGAGGACATTTTTATTCGAACCCACAATGCTTCACGATCATGTAATACTTCGCTTTTTTGAACATGTAATGTATTTTTAACCGCTATAAAGACGCCTCCTCCCCTACGTCCCATTCTGTCTCTGCGAAAGATTGAATACGAATCACTCAAAAGTAGTTCAGAATTATCAATGTTTCGAGTCAACCAAGATTCCGTTATAACCACGATATCAGCCGAACATGAATCGACAGCCTATTGCAACTCTTCTTGTTTAGAGAATACGCTTCTTGCGTTTGCGATAAAAAAAGAAAGGCAGGAAGATAGGTCTCGTCGACATAATGTCTTTTGTTTATGCCGTGGTTGCTATGCTGAAACAGCTTTCACAGAATGTGTTTCCCTGTCAAACGCATACCGATTTCTTCCGATAAAAAGTTTATCGTACCGCAACCGAAACTCCTGTCCTTGGTTTTTTGCAAAGGCTAACAATGCTCGCCTTGCCATGCGTACATCCGGAGAAAAATCCTCGCTCAACCGAAATATAGATCCCTTTAGTGTGGGTCCCTTGGATAGGACGAGTTCTTTATCTTTGAAAGAGTTAAATTTGGCAATTATGGGCCTGGGAGGAGTACCGAGTCTGTGTGCTCGTTCAATGGTGGATGGTGCGAGGGTAACACCAAACCTGGTGTTACCCTCGCACTGTATTAATGAACAAGTCTTCACCAAGAAAGTCGTAAACGTAGAAAAATGTTTGAACAGCAGTAGAGGCTTTAATAAACGACGTTTCGGGAAGATACTTTTTTTCTTCAAGTGTGAAGGGAAGAAGGGAAGTCTCTTCCCGAAACGTCGTGTATTAAAGCCTCTACTGCTGTTCAAACATTTTTCAGAGTTATGGTTACCAACATTTCATTTCAACGTCAAAAGGGTTAGTTATAGAAGATGTAGCTGATTGCAGTAACTTAAATACGCGTAATTAGTCACTTCACAGCTCTGTAAGCGACCACGCCTAGACAACATATTAGACTTACGCAAGGCAGCACTGTCACAAAATGGCGGTGAGCTATAGGCGTAGCATGCGGGAGTATAGCGATATCATACCGCGTGCCTGCTTGAGTGTCAGCGCTGTCTCTTACTCAACCCAGGCTCAATTGAAAATGAAAACATTTGAAATATTTCCTCGCAAGCTCCCTCGTTCAACATGTACTAAACCTGCAGTTACCGCAACAAAGAAATATTTTTTTATCTTTGAATTGGTCGGAAGTTGGTCGTCGTTGGGGCGTGTCTCTCCATACTTCTGGTTACACCCCTGGTGACATCATGTCGCCTCGACAAGTTTCCTACCTCCATGGTACGAACAAATCCTTTGACTTGGAGGTTTGAATTCGTCGGAAGTCGGGGAAATTCTAAACGAATCTTTTTGACTCGGTGGATATATTCAACGTGGTACTCGGAAATAAATATTAAGGGTTGGGGTAATTTGAAAAAAAGAAAAGCTTGTGCACATCAGTGTGTCTAGGGCGTCTCCTTTCCCTCAAGACGCTTGAGCCTTGGGAAGTGACGACAGTCGGAGTCGACGGAGGCAGCTCGACGAATGACGAGGCTGAAATTGTGCTCGCATTTGAGAAAACAGTCTGCGCTGGTGCACCAAGTTTGTCGCCTGGAACGCGTCTCCGGCTTACGGCTGGTCCCTCGATTTACGCCTCATGACGTCATAAACGTGGCACGCTGTCGCCGGCCGCGATCCTGGCGGTGTGACAGCAGCGGCGCTGGATGTGACAGACTCCTCTTCTGCTCCAGGTCGCCCTCCGCCTTATGTACAGTCCACGGAAGTTTCGCCAGTCAGAAGTTGGGACGTTGCGAAGACAGCGACACTCGCGTTCGCTCGTTCCTTTTTACCGGAACTTCTCAGCGCCAACCTCCAGAATCGCGACATTTGACAGCGTGACAACCAGGCATTTCTGATGTCGTTTGTTGCCACGTGGCGACCACTTTTGACGTGAGGGATGGCTAGAACGCTAAACACGCCAGTCGAAGACTCGTTCCAGTCGCCGTATCATTTGATGTGTCAATGCCACGGCGCAGGGTATTACTTTGGGTGTAAACATATTTACAACCTCGCATTCGCCGAGCTCTCCCCATAGATTGCAGCAATTCCAGGTGCCTTGCGGGAAAACAGACACTACGGGTTTCTCGGGGCGCGCACCGTTGACGCCGTCACCTGCGGGCAGGGCCACGAGCCCATTTCAAGAGAAATCTTCTGGTTATAGCGCGGCACCTATTTACTACCAGAACCAGGAGATTTTTTTGGGGTTTTACCACTGTCGCCTGTCTTCTTCAAACCCACTCTCTGTGGGGCCGGCTGGGCGTTGCAAATAAATACCCACCTTCTCATTTCTCCTGAACAAAAACAGAAACAGAAAGCGTGAGAAGTCAATGGTTAGGCTAAAAATAGCGAGAGATTGTCACGCGGCTTTTAAACCAGACGGATAAAGCCTATAAAATCCTAGGTGGCAATAAAATGACAGTAAACGCACGAGAGGAAGATAAAAACTAAACGGCGCCCCCAGGCTAGCCAAGGCCTCGATCTTGGATCGCCGAATCTAACTTTCCAGCTTGCTGTCACTCTGCACCGGAAGAGAGAAAGAGAGAGTAAGATAGAGAGAGAGAGAGAGAGAGCTTGCGAGGCCGAAATTGCCCAGAAGAGCGGCTAGTGCCAACTTTCCCTGTCTTGACGCTACGCATAGAATCCATTTGCTTGGAAGGACAGCGAATGATCTTATTTGTTGCTACTATCGATTTATCGTTTGTATGAAACCATGAAAAAGAAAAGAAACTGTGTAGGAATGCATGTACGTGTTGAAATTTATGTTGGTAACTTATCTTAGCCCAAGTCATCAACTTTTTCTTGTCTAAACGTGGATGCGTAAAACGCTTAAAAATGCATAAAGTTTTTTTGCCGTCAATTTTTTAATAATTTACGAGAAAATCCAATCTTCCATTCCAGTGATGAGCCACTTCAGGACGTTCCAGACCAACAATCGTGGGCCTTTAAAACAATATTCACAAATAGTCACCTCTATTCCGAGAACACTGACGCCGAGAATACTGATGTATTAGCATATTTATATTATCATGCGAAAGTCAATAATTATTATTAGTAATGTACATGCACCTGCCCACTCTTAAAAGGTCACGTCTTGCTCGGTAGGAAGCTGGTAATATTTAGGCGGAAATACTGAAGTAATATATAGTATCCGACAGCGTATACACAAGCTCGTGGAGAATCCAGATCATCCTAATTACTATCGTTCCGAAGGTAATAAGATTGGGGCATCAGGTGATGAGAATGATGAAGAGCGAATCACGATGCAAGAAACCCGATCCCGATTGTCCGCGCTCTGCGATTTTTCTTATCATTAATGTTATATCACATTTATATTAACGAGCAAAACGAAGGAACGATGTTTGTCTTCCTTCTTACCTTTCTGAAATACAAATACTCTAAACGACTTTTGTTTCGCGACTCATATTTTTCGTGATTGAAAGCGACATGCGGTGCATTCATTACCATGGGCAGTTCTATTCGTATAGCCTTTTTTTTTTTTCTACGTTTTTCAAAATCGCAAAACTTGCGAAAATAAGTTGTACGATAGGTGAACAACTCACTCTTTCGCGAACACGCGAAATTCACAATTTGAAATCGGATGACCAAAGTTACACAGTCGAAACTCCGGGTCACTTTGAATCTGGCTCAAATAAAGCGCGAGAAGTGTAGTTCAAGAAGATACAGCTTCCTTGGTAACAAGTTTAAAACTGAGAGTAGAGGCAGGCTCCCCCTGGATCTCGCCGGCCCTGAAATGATTGCGCAAACAGTCCGACGTGAGCGGCGTACCAGGTCCCATTACCGATACATTCGGGAGGGCTTCGCGGAGCCGTCGCTCGAGAGGAATCCTGCCTCCCCCCATTCGTATAATTGCTCACGTATCGCCTTTTCGACCAGCTGGGACCGCCGATCGACATCTTGTGCGAGCGTACGACGACCCTTTGAGGAAATGTATGTGTGTGATTGATTTGTTCTACCCGAGCGCTTATTAAGTTAATGGTAGAACGCAACCAGATCGTCGCTTAGCCGTTTTGGCGATTTTTGTTTTCGCACTTTAGTGTTATTACCTTTGTGGTAAGTACTCTTTTTTATGGTTTTTATTGTACTGGATCACTGAATATCTACTTGCAGAAGAAATGGACTGACAAAAAGCGGGGTATTGCAGCATTTTGTTGTCTGAAACCTACTGATGTAACTGAAACATCTTACTATACTCCATGTTGTGAGTCCATGTAGGCTTGTGAGACACATAGCACAGGCTCCCGCGCACTCCTAAAAAGTCACATCTTATGCGGGCCTGGGCGCCAACGAAGGTACAAAACACGGTGGGCTCTGATGACCACATTATCGCTTAGTAGCGTCACGACAATGCTCTATTGCCAGAAAGCAACGAGCGTCAGAAGGAAAATCGGTCTCGACCAAATACTTCAGCGGAATATAATCGGGCTAAAACAAATCATCGGACAGTTTTTTTTTTTCTATGCCTGGATATAATATACGCGTGCACTGAAAAGAAACAATTCCTGAATTCAATTTACGTTTTGCTTATGTATCGTTTTACATATATGCAGAGTGCTGAATGCCCTAATAAGCGCCCTGTTCCCAAGCCGAAGAGAATGAACGGTGCGGTTCTTGTCGTCTTTCTTGCTTACAGTTCGAATGCTGGGGCAGCCATGCCGGAGGGATGAACAGTGCCACAAGATTGACAAGCACGCAGACTGCGACGATGGGTACTGCAAGTGCGAAGACGGCTATTATCTCTTCCACGACATCAACGGAACGTCCTGCTTGCAAGGTAGAAAAAAAAAAAAAAAAAACTCGCCGAAGGAATTAAATTTTTTTTATATTTCTTAAAGTGCGAAGTACGACATCTATTTTGGGCACGCGATCGATAGTTCTAAAGTTTTTGTCGTAGCTTGTCAAAGAAACTAATTCTCGTAGTGCAAAGGAGTGATGTGCAACGCCAACTTGGGAGGAAATTATTTTTTTTACTATTAAGTTTTACGAGTGATTTGGGGAAAACGGGATGTAACGTTGGTGCTGCAAACGCCAAAAAGAAAAAAAACAAAAAAAACGAGCAGATGTATTTATTTAAAATTAGACATGACGCGCAAGATACGCCTCTTTCAATACACACTCGCATCCAGCATCTACTCGAGAGCTCCTACTTGTAAAGTTCGTCCATTGTACTGGTTCTAAGAAGTATTTTGAAAGAACGCAGACGCACGGGCATTTTTGAGAGATTTATGTATCCAAGTCTCGTCGATCATCTTATGCATCCTTATTTTAAAGACAATAATTTTTTATCATTCTCACGCATCCTTATTTTAAAGACATTCATTTTTTATCAACCTTTGAATAAGCATTGAGAACACATTCAATAACGTCTATTGCTGGAGTCTTTACAATCAAGGCGATAAAAAGCGCGACGTTTACGTTTCTGTATTATCGAAGAAAGCGCTTTGCTGACGACCCTGTTACAGATGAACATGCCCCGCTAAACCTGAAACATCTCGAATCTCGGGTTCCAAACACTCTAATTGTTATCTCCCGCTTGGTAAGCATATTTAGGAGAACTCTGCGCGGCGACACCTGGGCACTATCTTAAAGCGTGCCCGCGTGTCTGCTTTCCCACAGAGCACTCGGAGGGTAAATCACCGCAATCTACGGAGAAACTGAGCGTTAGGCTCAGCTGGACGTAAGCGTGGCCGCTCTCAGACCTCGCTGAGCACATACTTTATCCCGATGCACTCAGAACGCCAATAATTTGCTTTTATTTACGTAGTTAGTTGATAAAATTAGAGGAACGATAGAGGTACCCTTTAGCAAAAAGAGGCCGTACTTGAAACGAAGTTGAAATATATTGAATATGAATTTTCATTTCGTATTCGTTCTGTACTATTTTGTCCACATTCGAAATACGCGCGTAAGGTATTCAAAATACATCATAAATATTATTGAATAATTATTTTAGATACACCAAAATATAATTCCTTCGCGGTCAAGATGCCATTGATGTATTAAAACCGGCTACACAATTTTTTTATTATTTTATATTTTGGTGGTAAGTGGTGTCTCTCTGGTATTTGAAAGCACTACTAATGTGCTTTCAAACGAACACAAGCACAAACACCATGCACTGAACACCTGAATCACAATGCCCTTGACTGCTCTAGAGCCTTATATAGCCTACATATTGAAGACAATCATTTAGCCGGTGACCACCTCTGCACTTATTAAGGTTCCAAGTATTCAATCTTTTCCTCGGGAGTCTGTCAAAGGTGAAACAAGGTTTTAAAGTTCGTAGACGATATCTCTTACTAAACGCATTGGTACAACTAATAATAATTCGGAGCATTCGCTAAAACAATATCCACAAAAACGGCTCCTAGAAGAAGTGTTATTGCTTTTCTGCATAGCACCACACAGGGCGAAGCAAGTCAAAGCAGTTTCTTCACTTTAAAATAGTTATTTTGATTTTCTTTACTAGTTGACAATTTAATGTTGTCGTTAACGTCACTATATTAAAGTTACTAGTCACATCACGTACAATGGTAGTGTATACACTTTCAGTAAACTAACGTTGTGCTAACACAACCACGCCAAACATATCCGCTCACAGCACTTGCTGAAGCTTTCCAGCATCAGCAAGTGTTGTGGTTGTAGTTCCCGAACCCCGTTTTTGATTGGTGTGCAAGAAACTCATCAGGTGTGTTCTTGATAGAAAAAAGAAAACAATAACATAAACTGGGCCGATTGATCAGTGCGATGCTGCACAACTCAGTTGACAAACTAATCAAATGTAGTAGTTAGGCACTTCAGTGTACTCCACATCTGCTTGAAGTGAACTTCAAGAAGGCGAGCTTTTCAATACTTTGGTAGTTAAGTCAAACAACCAAAGTATTGCAGTCAAAAGGCACTTAGAGTATAGCACAACAGTATTTACGATTTCCAGGTATTTTAAGAGTATTCTGCACATAATTTTGATCCCTGCATTTTTATTAGGGTTTTGCATGAAATAAATAAATATTTTAAGAAATCTATGTGAAAGGTATTTTGTGTCTACTAATTTAGTACTTATATATCTCAGAACGCATGTAGGGAACTTCAAATGTAGCTTATGTAAAGGTATTTTAAAAAGATTTTCAGAAGTATATTTTAATACTAAGTAAAAAAAAAAGAGTATTTTTGGTCTATTTTTAGTGTACTCACAATTATGAACCGTACTTCAAATGCACTCAACTTAGAAACTGGTATATTTCAAACGTATTAGTTTTCGCTAAGGGACTATACAGACCTAAAAAGTAATCTGTTACTTTTTAAAGTAATTTTGTAATTGCCACGTTACTTTTTTCGGAAGTAAGTTGTAATGCAATTTCGTTAAAGAACATTGGAAATGGGTTACTTTAATTACTCGTTACTTTTTCTTTTTTTTTTAAATATGAGCACAACACAGTAACTGGAGCAATAGGAGCAGAGCATTCACCAGCATAAAGTGAGCTAGTTCAAACAAAGTACAAAACATCAGCACTCTAAAAAAGGTTTGTGCGTCTTCTTCCACGCGCAACACTCGGAGAGCCAATCACCGCAACTTACGGAAGCAGCTCAGCGAATGGCAATGCCGAAACATATGTTTAGACCAAAAGACGCAGTCTGAGTTGTGACATTAAGCAATGCGAAACGTCACGCTTGCATTGCTTAATCTCACAACTCAGTCTGTGTTTTTTGGTCTAAACATATGTTTTGGCATCGTCATTCGCTGAGCTGCCTCCGTATTTGCGGTGATTGGCTCCCCAAGTGTTTTGCGGGAAAGAAGACTCTTGGGCGTTTTTTAGAGTGAGGAAGGGGAGAATAACCGAAAAGAAAACACGATTTTGTGTATGACCGGTCACCAGAACCACTAGAAAAACGGGCAAGGCATGTACAAATATACGAAAGACAAAGATTAAATAAGACAACGCCAAGTAGGCTCTCCGTCGCCTTCCATCGTGTTTTCTTCTTCTGCCGGACGGGCAAGAGAAAGTTCTTCGTGTTCATTTGTTTCTGTCTTTTACCGTTTCGCCCTTTTCAACATCTTAAACGTCTCCCGCCACCTGCACAGGCATAAAACGCGGGTTCGTGCCCCCTCAACTCGCGGGTTCACAACTCGCGTAACAGGCGATGTAGCCTCGCGCCAGGGGATCGAATTCTTTTCGTCTTTGATGTGCGCTACTGGATCCTAGCACGCTATTGAGGCACAGCTGAAAAGTGCCCGGTGCGAGGCCAAGACCATCGTCTTCGAGGGCACAGACGACACTTCTTTTGGTTTACATGTTTGGGCATGGTGATCTAGTCCACTCCTAACTTTACCGTCAACTGTAACCATAACGGAGTGGGGTGGGGTGGGGAAGGAGGGGGGGGGGGGGGTTCTACCTAAGGAGTGTTGACAGAGAGAGAGAGAACACGTAAAAGTGGTGTGATCCTCCATTGTTTTTTGAGACCGATGGCCACCGCTTCTCTCACTCTTTGTGCCCTTTCCTTCCGTGGCCTCCACAAATATAGGTATGAAAGTGGGAACCGATGAAACGATCGATAACCCGTAACCGCCACTTTTTCTCTGACTGAACGAGTTTGCGGTCATAGACTGTCCGTCGTCTCCATGGCCATTTCTTAATGAGATGTTCAAAATTTAGGGCAATAAATAGAACGGAAACCTAGAGTTTCAGTGCATGCTTTGATTGCCAAAAAACACACACACTGTCATCAGCAAGAACAACAAACTTTAATCTACGGAAATACATCAAACTACACTGTTAGAAAATTCCATCAATCTACGTGGAAAAATCGAATAGAACATGTCCCGTTTTCTGGAAATGCATACAATGTGCTGTTTGCTTTCAAAAACGGGAATTGTACCATATGCATTGAAATGTGCTATTTAGGCAATAAGTATGAGCTTATCCGTATAAATAAAAAAAGCCTTACAAGACTACAGTTTATAGTCGGTTCAACTGGTATAAGCGAATTGAACGCGCCTAAAAGTGCCGGATATCCAGCAATTTTTATGGAACTCTATCAGACCGCGGAAGTACAATGCCCGTGAGCCGTGTTACGCCGCGCGCAGGAAGACATCTCTCACCCGCGCATGCGCAAGCCGCTGCCGTCCGGTGTGGTCCCGCAAGCTGCGGAGTGCTGCTGCCCGTTCGGAAGGCGAGTTCGACGTTGTTATCGCGTCGTCAGAGGCGTTCAGCGGTGCGTAGAGGGCTTTGTTTTCCAAGGTACGTATACGTTAAGTTGTTCCTAACGCAGTGTTATTTTACTATCTCTAAGGGTGTCGTATATTCCAAGTTCGGGATGCCCAGCGTGTAGCGTCTCGTCTTCCCAGCTGCATAAAGCTAGGTCTTTTATAGTTCCTGATTCGGGGCGGCATACTGCCCGACCCTACTTAGTATTGATGGTATGCTGCGCTGCGTAGTTACGCGGAAAAAAACTGGAGAAATGAAGTTAATGCAGAAGGACAGACAAAAGCATGCATGAATTGGCGCAGACTAACAACTGTTTAATTTCTTTCTCTTCTTTCTCCCCCGACCCGTATTTCCCAAATTGCGGCTAAGAAAACGAATGGTTGATGTCTTGAATTTGTTGGCTTCAGAACTTGATGGTGTTTGCTGTAGCTGCCTCTTTGATATACGAACTGGATGGTGTGTTTTTTGTAGCATTTACCTGGGGCCTGATGTTTTCTCCGACAAGTTTGGTATCTTATTGAGTAGATCTATTTCTTCTTGTCGCAAAGCTAGTGATGGCTCACTGACGCAC